CATCTACTTCATCTCATGACATTCTCAAAGGCCCACATAAATGGTAGAATTACCTATCATATCATAGGAACAAAGAGCATAATTTAAAAGCCATTTTAAGAGCTATTTCTAAAGGGTCTTCTACCAATTGTTAATTTTTTCTAAAAGTAAATGGAAGTGCATACCATCATTTTGATGTAAAGCTTCCTAAAGTAAAAAGGGAAAGGTATAAATATTCTCCATCTTAACATAGTCCCTAGAATCTCTGCATGGGTCTATAAAACAAAAACAAACAAAAAATAAAACCCCAAATTATAATAATTTTTATATAGTAAAACCCAGAGTATTTTTCTTCCAAGAGGCATGCTTTCAAGGCAGTGCATGGACATTTAGATTAACTGAAGTGCTTTCTGAACCTCTAAAACTCATTCTAAACATTGTCCAGGAAGTATGGACGACAAATGGTTTAATTTCTTGAGTGACCTTATCTCAGCATAAGGAGCTCCTTAAATGAGCTGTATAGGAATTAGTAAACAGTAAAAAACTGTTGTCATGTTTACCAGGGATAGAATCACTATTTTATTTTAATTCCCAAATTAGGAACACTAGACATTAACATATAAATATTAACTGACAGAAAATTTTAACTTATGTACGGCACTTTCTTCTGCATTTTTTTTTTTTTTTTTGGAGAGGTTTTTGCGATAGGGCGCGTGTGCTCACCAGAAAGATAGAGACAGAAAGTGAGAAATCACCCCCCAGGGGTATGGCCACGCTGCAACCCCTTTTCCTCCGTTCTCCTCTCGGGATATTGGGCACGCACGCACAAGCTCCTGACATGAGTTTTAAGCCACCGGGTCCGGGACGCAAACTGCGGTCGACTATGTGGGAGTCCAGCGACATAGCCATTACGCTAACTGCTGGTACCCAGCCCCGGCATGAGTTTTAAGCCACCGGGTCCGGGACGCAAACTGCGGTCGACTATGTGGGAGTCCAGCGACATAGCCATTACGCTAACTGCTGGTACCCAGCCCCGGCATGAGTTTTAAGCCACCGGGTCCGGGACGCAAACTGCGGTCGACTATGTGGGAGTCCAGCGACATAGCCATTACGCTAACTGCTGGTACCCAGCCCCGGCATGAGTTTTAAGCCACCGGGTCCGGGACGCAAACTGCGGTCGACTATGTGGGAGTCCAGCGACATAGCCATTACGCTAACTGCTGGTTCCCAACCCCGGCATGAGTTTTAAGCCACCATGTCCGGGACTTGAACCGTGGTCGACTACATGGGAGTTCAGCAACATGGCCATTATGCTAACTGCTGGTCCCAAGTTTCTTCTGTATTTAACAGTGGAATTCACCACATATGTTGTGCTAAAAAGAGCAAAATATAAAATCCGAATAAAAAAAATCAGAATAAACAGTCTATTTTTGTTTCATAGGATGGTTTGATTAAATAACAATATTTCACATTTGAAAAAAGTTGGACTCTATAAAAATTCCATCTACATATAACTTATTTCATATTCCAAAGGCACTCAAGTTAGAAAATATATGTACAAAAATACAAAACCAGAAAAGTTTAACGACTTGCTTAGCCTGAGTCAGCTAGAAATATTTCGTACTGAGATTAGAGGCCATATCCTGTGGTTTGTTTTTGTTTTTTCGTGTTTTTCTTATACTTTGTTTTTCTACCATGCTGCCAAGTAAGACAGGCAAAGAGAAAAGAAGATTGGGTGGAGGCAGAAAAGAGAAAGTTAGGAGGGAGAAAAGAAAAACATTTTATCCAAGGAACTTCTCCAAGACACATAATGCTGTATTAAAATGTTATTTATTTTTAACCAAATGTACTCTGTCATCAGAAGAATGTATCTTCTAGCATTGTGGGGTAGAAACAGGGTCTCATGGCCTTAAGAAACAAAGATTAAGATTTCTTAGCAAAGATTAATACTTCTTAATGCAAGCTTATCATTGTTAATAGCCATATATTATCTATATTATAAAATATTCAGATTCCTGCCTAAAATTGTGAAGCTTGATAACCTTGATATTAGCTTCTCTGCTTTAACATTACAAAATCCTTCTTATGTTTGTATGTTTTAGAAAGTAGCCATATGTAACTTTACAAAAGAACAGATATTTTTCTTGGATATAAAACTACATTCGATTGCCCTTTTCAGATATGGTAACCAAAAGTTTTAGAAAATCATGTTGTATCTTCATATATAAAGACATATATGTCACCTAATAATCGATTCTTATAGTTTCCCCTTTACAAATTTGAAGAAAATGGTTTAAGTTTGGCATTAGTCGCCACAGAGAAGAAAGAAAAAATGGGAATAGAAGAGTCAGAGAGGAAAAATAAAGAAGACAAGCATGACAAATAGTTTACGAAGTGCTTTGAAACATGACCTCACTTTACTTATTATAAACTTACTAGATAAATTATTTCACAAATGAGAAAACTACAGTTCATAAAGATTTAATAACTTTGTGGACTTGCAGAAAAGAAATTTGAATTGGAAATTATGCAAACCAAGTGGAAAACTCACTCAGCAGCCCCAAGAACAGAAACAGGTCATGATATACCCTTCTAAAGATAAATACCAAAGATAAACTGAGATGTACTATATTACAGCTGAGGGTCCTATCCTCAAGAGTGCTACAAATACGATTATAGTTGTCTGGGACACAAAAAGTAAGGGCTGGTTCCCTGGCCTGCTGGTTAAGGCAGAAGTATCCTACATGGTCAACCGCATGGTTTGAGTCCCAGACCCAGCAGATTGAAAAACAGGTACCTGTGTATGCCCAAAATCCCACAAAGAGGGAGAGATGGAGGAGAAGGGATTGCAGTGTGACTATTCTTTATGAGGGGTGCCTTCTCTTCTTCTTCACTTTGATGAGCATATGCACCATATATTAAAAAAATAATAACGATAAAAAAGAAAGAAAAAAGAAAGAAAGAAAGAAAGAAAGAAAGAAAGAAAGAAAGAAAGAAAGAAAGAAAGAAAGAAAGAAAGAAAGAAAGAAAGTGATAAAAGGAAGAGTTGCTATTTCAAGAGATATTTTGAAAGGGTCTTCTACGAATTGTACCAGTTGTTCTGAGTTCTTAGCCTGTTGATTTTCCTGAAAGGTAAATAGAAGTGCATACCATCATTTTGATGGAAGGCTCCCTAAAGTAAAAGGGAAAGGTATAAATAGTCTCCATCTTGGGACCAGCAGTTAGCGTAATGGCTATGTCGCTGGACTCCCATGTAGTTGACTGTGGTTGGAGTCCTGGACCTGGCGGCTCGGACTCAAACCAGGTGTGTGTGCGTGTGTGCCCAAGATCCCGAGAGAAGAATGGAGGAGAAGGGATTGCGGCGTGGCATCCCCTCTGGAGGGTGATTTCTAGCTTTCTATCTCTCTGTCTCTCTCTTGTCTGTCTGGCAAGTGCACGCACCCTATAGTGAAAACCTCTCCAAAAAAAAGAAAAAATAGTCTCCATCTTAACATGGTCCCTAGGATCTCTGCATGAGTATACAACACAAAAACAAATAAACAAATAATAAAACCCTAAACTATAATTAAACCCTCAAATTCTCAAGATAAATGAGAACATAGTAGAAACCATTATTTGCAAAATTATTTTAACAATTCTAACCTGCACAGTTGTATTGTATATAAGAGCCCATTTCTACCTTTTTTCCCTCACCAAAGATGTACATTTCATTTCGGTTGTCTGGGATTAGAGTGGGATAGAAAGATGTACAGATAAAGGATATTCTGAACATAAAGGAGGAGGAAGAGCATACCTTTCTGTTCTCAATCTATAGAGAATATTATCAGAGAAAATATATAAATTATACTACACTTTTTGTTGGGGTGGTTGTTTTAGATTATTTAGATTTTTGCCACAGGGTGCATGTGCTCACTGGAGAGAGACAGAGAGAAAGAGGGAAAGTGAGAAATCACACCCAGGGAGGATGGCCATGCCAAAAACCCTTCTCCTCATTCTCCCTCTCAGGATTTGGTCATGCACACACACAACCCCAGTGTGTTTCGCAAGCCACTGGGTCTGGGACTCAAACCAATCAGTAGTCTATGTGGGATCCAGTGCCTGGACCACCACTGCTGACCTTTATACTCCACTTGTGAAAAGTTCATTTATTTCCTTCATGAGAGAAAGAGAGACAGACAGACAGAGATGGTTTCAAAGGGTCTTCATGCCATGAATCTCCCCCAAGCCCTACAGCCAGCCAGGATCAGGGTATACTCAGAACATCCAGGCATATCCAGAAAATAAATCTGGAGCCTTCCCACATGGCCTCCAGCATCACACAGCAGCACCTGAACTGCCAGTGCCACACAGTGGCTGGGCCCATACACCACTGCTATTGTCTGGAATACTGACAACTCTCCCAAGCAATATTAATATAAAATATCTACATATTTGCTTAAAACAAACTGGAGCCTTGTTACCTTTATTGATATTTAATTGTAACCTTCTAATCAACCAATGTGGATGTGGAAATACAATCTCAGTCCTTCATAGTCCAGAATAATATCCACAAAGAAAACATGAATGGGATACTGCAGGGAGTGATAAAATAGCATCATGAAGAGAGAAATTGTTAATGATTTCCATAAATACTTAGACAATTTTTATTTACACCATAATCTCTAGAGAGGTTAGAGATCTTTCTTTTGGTTAAGAGATAACTCATGAAAACTCATTTACTTACAGAATTTGTCATGGCACGGATAACTGAGCTCTAGCCCACTGAGTGCTTATGAGAAAGACACCAGAATGAAAAAAGACTAAACATCAAAATGCCACTGGTAATTAAAGAACCACTACAGTATATCTGAATGTCCTTAAATTAAAAAAAAAAAAACATTAAAACTGCATGTAAACAAAGATCTCACTCTGAAGACAATGAAATTATATTACATAAACTGTAAGAGTGGAGAGTTAGACTGGAACATATCTAAGTTCCCTTCCATTTCTGAAATTATGTGATTGAGATATTTGAAACTTACCTAAGTATTTTGGATAAAAGTAATCCTAGAAAGGAAGAAAAGGAAAGAAAAATATCTCAGTAACTTAAATTTTATTATGAGCAAACACTTAATTTTATAATAAGTCTTTATATTAAAGATGAAAATGAATTCCATATAAATTGTCATTTTCATTTTATAATATTTTTCTATAGTAAAATATAGCAGGTAGATAATTATTATAGTAAAATTAAACCAATAGGATGCTTAACCCCAAAGCAAAATTGATCAGTTAAATATTTCAAAAGCTTCTAACCTGAAAATAGATTCTATTTAAGATGTAAAATGTAATCATATATGCCCCCTTTAAGTAAATCCTTTAACTTTTCCACAAAAATTAGATACTCATGTCATACATTTTATGTCATGAGTATTACACCATAGTCAATGTCGAATAACACTGACGTAACTTGAATTAAGTTAAAGTGAATATTTATCTTGTAGCATCTTATGTACATATAATACCTTACTTATGTGTTGGTTGTTTTCCAAAAGTTTATCTGTAATTCAGTAACTTGGAGTTAGAAATGCACTTTAGTAAATGGAGAAAAATGTTAAAAATTTCTAATGATAAGGTTCCCAGGTTGGTCTATAAAAGCATTCTTAATCCATATCTAAAATGTAGAATTACTATCACAAGAACACTCATCTCATAAAGAACTGGAGTCTCTACACAGAAACATACTCAATGTATCAACCTAATATGTACAGAAATACCTTGATCCAGTAGAGAGTCCTCACTCTTTTCTCTTGGCATATATACCAACACATCACTTAACTACTGGTTTATCAGGATGAGATCTCCTACCAAGTAATTCAGATAATAGTGTTGTCATCTACAGAGGAAAAGTCAGGAGGATAAGCAAAAACAAATGGGATTCAAAGGTGATGATGCAATGGTGAAAGAAGGATACTGGAGACGGTGGGGATGTAAGTAATAGGGTGAAGTTTGAGAATACAAACTAAGGTTTTAGGGAAGTGGACAGGGAGTGGGCGGGGCAGTAGAGAAAATAATAAACAGAAGTATTTTTTTTTTCCTTTCATTTCTTTTTCCTCTGTCGATGAGACCAATGTTAAAATTAGCAGAGGGAGGGGACCAGCAGATGGTATAATGGTTATGTCACTGGACTCCCACATGGCTAACCATGGTTCATGTCCCAGACCCAGAGGCTTGAAACTCATGTAGGGAGTGTGTACATGTATGTCCAGAATCCCAAGAGGAGAATGGAGGAGAAGGGATTGCAGTGCGGCCATCCCTCCTGTGAAGGGCAATTTCTCACTTTCTGTCTCTGTCTCTCCAGGAGTTCACACACCCTATAGCAGAAAAATCACTTTAAAAAAAAAAAAAAAGAATTAGCAGAGGGGAGGAAGTACTTAAGTTTTTCTTCTTCCCTTTCTTTCCTCCCCTCCATTGTAGTCTTTAACCTCACTCCCCTTTTGATTAGAGGCTACAGTCTCTGCTTCTCTGGAGGTTGCGGTAGCGGGATCACAAGTTTGAGGTCAGTCTGGACATCAAAGGAAGACCTTGCTTTCTCTCTCTCTCTCTCTGGTGAGCACATGTGCCTTAGGGCAAATAAAAACAATAATAATAATTTTAAAACATTAAACATAGTGAGTTCCAGCCATGGTGGTATAAGCAGTATAGTGCCACTGTTCAATATTAGGGCCATATGAGGAGGGTCCAGGTTCAGATTCCAGGTCTATCTGAACACACAAGGCATGTCCATGCCTCACTGACTGGAAAGTTGGGAGCAGGGTGGAAGGTTTTATCACAGCCTGATGAGATAATAACAACTTGAGTTCTCTGGTCTCTAGGACTTCTCTTTAACATTTAACCCACTACTATTCTTTTTGTTTTGTTTTGCTTTGTTTTGTGTGTGTGTGTGAGTGTGTGTGTGTGTGTGTGTGTGTTTGGAAGGTTTTTGCCATAGAGCATGTGTACTCACCAGAGAGAGAAAGTGAGAAATCACCCCCTGGGAATATGGCCTCTCCACAATCCCTTTTCTTCTATTCTCCATCTGGGATTTTGGGCACACATGGACATGCACCTGGTATGATTTTCAAGCCACCAGGTCTAGGACTTGAACCCATAGTCAGCCATGTAGGAGTCCAGCACCTTAACCACCACATCACTTGATGGTCCCACAGGGGGGCCCTGTTTTCTAGTTTCTCATTAAAATGAACTGTCAGTAGAGAGATTTAATAAAGCACAGTGATAACAATAAAGAGACACACACACAAACACACACATATATACACACAGTGCTACTTCTTTCCAATACTACCAAGTGCTACCAAATTCCAGTTGGAAGAAAATATTTACAAACCATGAGGTCTATTGCTTATAGAGAAGTATTGTATAATTGAAGTATAGTTTGGTCAAAACACATTGTTATCACCAATAAGATCTTCCTGAGTCCATTTTCCTTTGAAAGCACTTCCTTCTGCTCTGCTTCAGTGGTTATGTGTGGCAGGTGATGTACAAAATCAACAACTTCACAATGAAGCACAAGGGAACCAGACTCAAGATGGAAATGCTCAGTCTGTAACTGTATGTTGAGGTGTGCAAACACAATAGTTTTTATGAACTCTTACCGTTTCAGGGTAATTCTCAAAGATCTCCCTAGCTTCCTCTTTGTTGCATAGTTCTTCAATGCATTCTCTTTCAAGGTTACCCTGTTTGGTTTCTTCAAGAAGAGAATTTGCACGGCGTTTCCTAACCAGGACTTGTGAAGCATGCTGCTTTGACAAAACTGAAGGAAAAAAATATTGATATGAATAAACTTCCATCTGAAATATATTACTTCATCAAACAATGAGTTAAAATCATTTTCTGACTATGAGTTGTATGACATTTAAAATCAGTATGGTTGAATTAAGAAAAAAGTGCAGATACCTAAGCACTTTGGCTAACAACTCAGAGAGCAGGTTTGGGGGTGCAGTTACTACAAT